GTTTTGATTCGAATTTCCCTAATGCCTGATGGTGTTGACCAGCTTCTCATATGCTTATTGACCATTTGTATCTCTAACGTCTATTCAGATCCTTTGCCCATTTTAAAATTTGGATTATTTGTCTTCTTATTGTTGTAACAGTTTGTGAGATTTTGCATTTGGGAACATTAGTGTCCAGTCAGAATTGGTCTTGGATTGTAAAAGCAAGATTAGAGAGCCCTGGTGGGAAATGGGAGCTGGTGCTAAGTCCTGGCCCTGTTGGTGGCCAACTGAGCATCCTTTATTAATTTCTTACCCACTTTGGGATTCCATGTTTTCGTTTTAAATTTTGTGACTGAAACTGTGGTGACAGTTGAGATGCATCTTTCCCACAGAAATGATCCCTGTCCTTATTTACTGATAGTATTTGGAGGGGGGAGGATCTTAGTTATGTCTCAGGAGGCTGCGCCTGCCCTGGCATATCCTTCAGTGTCCAGTGCCCTTTACTGAAGACTCCTGAGATCCACTGGCTTTTCCTGGCCTTCTGTAGGTGCCATGCTTGCATGACTTCCCTGCCCCTGTCTGCGCCCCGCTCCCAGGCTCAAAATGTTCCTGTTTTTTATTACAGATGCCAGAAAAATCCACACTGCCCCTGCCCGAGCCTTGTACCTGCTGCGCCCCCTGCCCATTCTGTTGGCAACAGGCGGCGGGTATGCGGGGTACCGGCAGTATGAGAAGTACAGGGAACGAGAGCTGGAGAAGCTGGGATTGGAGATTCCACCCAAACTTGCTGGTCACTGGGAGGTAGGAATAAGGTGGAGTCACCTTGGGCTGTCATCCAGCTTAGCTGTCTCATGCTTTATAAATGGTCCCAAAGATGAAATGTTTGAAAAAGTGAGATGTGCTTTCTTGGAGCTCATGTCTCCAGTGGGTTTTCTGGCAAGGTATGGAAGTGATGCCTTTGGTGTCACGTCGGGCTTCCCTTCTGTCCCCAAACCTGTTCTAAGTGGGAATTTTCTGTGGCGGGATTCGTCAGAGATCCTGCCTGATGTCGGTGCTGGGCACTTGGCTGCTCATGCCCTTCTTGGTCTGAAGTTGAGCTGAAGTTGTTGGACCTTTGTGATGTGGATTAGTACTCTCCAGGAACCAGACTGAAGTAATGAAATTGCTTTATCATTATTGCCTAAATTACTACCACCCCAACTCCTGCGTCGTACTAACATGATGGGGCAGACTGCATTGTTGTCAAACCATGTATGACTTGTAACGAACTGTCTTTTTCCTCTTTGCTTCCTGTGGGCTGGGATGATGCCTGACTTAGAATGGACATTCATTAAACATTGAGTTTGAGTATAAAGGTGTAACTTGAAAAATTGGTGTCTGTTTATCCATAATTTACCAAGTGAAAAACCTGAAATACCAAAGGACCTGTGATAGGCTCCAATAGTCTGGGCAGAAGAGACGTTTAGAGCTGAGGCTTCACGGTAGTTTGGAATGGTGCGTGCAGGTTGCTTTTCTGTCCATTATTCACACAGTTCAGCTGAGTTTAGCCTAATAAGAAACACTGGCAGCCGGGGCATCAGGAGGCCAAGGTCTTCCAACCATGGTTCCTTAGTACTCTGTGACCTTGGGCACATTGTTTTACATCTGGCTTTCACTGTCTTTAACTGTCACACAACGGGTTGGGCTGAAACACAACTCTGAGATTCCTTCCAGCTCTACTATAATTGGTTGAGGCATCTTTGGTGACATGGGCATTACATGCTACATTATAGGCTTCCATCCAAAGCCCTGTTTTGACTGTTGTTCTCCAGTAGAATCCAGTGTAAGGAGTTTACTCAATTTCCAGCATTTCTGTAAAACTGACATAGTTAACTGGCCATAGAAGCAAATGTGATTGCATCACATCTAAAAGATGTCTGTCTGCCCCATATGTGTCTATGGGTTTACTCTTTGGCCTGTTTGCATGGCTTTACCTTTTTAATAACCTACACTGGAGCAGAAATAAAAGGGGTTTTCTGGTTTTTGGTAGTATATCCCACAATCCTTTTGGTGAGAGGTAATTGCATAATGTGAGTTGCACTTTCAAAGTATACCATTGTCAGGGATTGAATTGTGTCCTCCAAAAATATGTGTCGTGCCGTGCTTCCAAGTATCATGTGGTTGTCCTCCATTTTGTGATCTGATATAATTGTCCTGTGTGTTGAAAATCATAATCTCTGCCTGGGGTTAATGAAGTGCAGAATTAGGTTATGTTTGTTATGTCGAAGAGGCAGGATTAGGATGGGATGCAACACCCTTACTCAGCCCTGATCTGATATAAGGGGAGTTTCCTTGGGGTGTGTCCTCATCACCTTTTATCTTTTTTTTTCAGGGCTGGACCTGGGGCTATGCATACACACACACACGCACACACACATGCACACACACACACATGTATATATGTATGTATATATCTATATATGTATATATATTTTAACTTTTTATTGTGATTTGGGTGAAAGTTTACAGAGCAAATTCATTTTCCATACAGCAGTTCATACACATTTTGTTTCATGACATTGACTGCAATTCCCCACAATGGAAGAGCTCTCTTCTTACTTCCTCCCTGTAGTCACCTCTTTCCTATATGTACTTTTTTCCTACCCATTCCTGCCCCCTGAACTATCTCCCTGTGTAAATACTGCCCTTCTGTTCTCTAATGACTGATCGTTGTAAGGAGTGTATCTACCTGATGTAAATGTTCACCCTGTCTATTGTTTGACTGGAAGCCATGGAAGTGAGTTCAGTTCCAAACCTCAAGGGCAACTAGGGTCCATAGTCTCAGGAACCTCACCAGGCTCTATTAGATCAGTAAACTTGATCTTTCTTTTATTTTATTTTATGATTTTGAGTTTTGTTCCACATTGTTCTCCTACTCTATCCAGGACCTCCTGGCCCGATCCCTTCCGAATGGTAGCTGGGCCCCATGCAGTTCTTCATGTATCATGGCTGAAGCTCGCCTGCTCTGCTAGTCCTTTGGACTAATGATTTCCATGTGTCTTTGGTTTTCTTCATTCTTCTTTGCTCTGGATGAGGAAAGACCCATTGTTGCATCTGGATGGTTGCTTGTAAGCTTTTAAGACCCCAGTTGCTACTCACCAAAGCAGGATGTAGAACAATATTTTTGTGTAGGTTTTTTTTTTTTTTTTTTT